CCTGGGCCTCCCGCAGCCGGAGCATCTCCAGCTCCTTCTCCGCCAGGATCCGCTCCAGCGCCGCCGCCCGCTCCCCCCGCTCCCGGGCCAGGGCCTGCGCACAGGGGAGAGACTCTTCCTGTCTTTAACGAGAACGGCAGGGCTCAGCCTGGTAAAACCTCATCGTGCTTCAGCACGGCTCTGCCAGGGTTTGGAAACAAGCTGCACAGCGGCGCAGGGGCCCTGGGCTCACTTCCAGACCCCGGGCGCTGTCTGTGTGGGTTTCCTGCCACAGTCCAAAGGCATACTGGTGGGTTGAATGTTCTAGGTTAGAAAACGGAAAGGAGGATGGATGTAGCCGTGGTACATCCATAGCACCACAGCAAAAATCCCAAAACGTCCTGCATATCGACTACTTGAAACACTGCTAAGGGTACGGGTCGCTGCTGTTTTGTGCTACGCCAAGCTCTGAGTCCTTGTGGGTGTGATTAGTTAAAGCTGCACCTCGTGTGTGGCGGCTGTGGAAAGAACCTGCTGCTGCACCTCCTTCTCCCGGAGCTGCTCCTCCAGCCTGGAGCACCTGCTCTGCAGGGCCAGGGCTTCATCCGCTCGCTGCTCCAGCTCCGTCTGGCACTCCTCCAGCTTCTGGGGGGGACAAGAGCCGCAGGACAGGCCGGTTACTCAGGTCAGGCCATGGAGACGGCGCGCTAATGCACACTAACGAGAGCCCCTGGCTTCTGAGCTGCCCTGGCTGGGGGAGAACAGGTACAGTACTGTATATCTTACTGATGCACTGCATGTGCCTGCAGGTGACAATCCGGACACTAGGGCTCACTGTTATGCGGGAAATCAATCAGATCAGGTCTCCTGCTGGCACTACACCTGTCTCTCCAGTAGGGCCTGCGCTTGTCTAGTGTTGTGATGACAGGAGAGGACAAGGCCCTTGGCTGGAATAGGAAACCCGCAGTCTGGAGATCTTAAATCTTAAATTGCTAAAAGCAATACAACAAAAAGTAGTTCAAGTAGGGAGCTGCGTCAGCATGCGTAGGCTACAAAGGAACAGGTAGCGGGTTTATTCCTGCTGAAAAGAAAAGAAAGGAAACACAACGTTTCGGCCGTGGAACCTTCTTCAGGTGTGCCACTCATATCTAGCAACAGTTTAATCCTCAGGTCACACGTTAGTATCTGCGGCCACGAGGCAGAATGAAGAAACAGCCCTGTCTCAAGGTGTCCTGTAATTAGGGGGTGAAGAGACAACCCTACAGTACTGCAAGATTAAGCACACACAAGCTCAGAGATATCCAGTGGGGCACCTGGGGGTTTCTAAGTGCCCATTAGGGTCCTGCAATGGAGAGAATAAGATATGTTAAACTGAGCTGCAAGCTGTGCAAAGACCATCTGATGCCAGCTAGAAATCCGCATCATCAAAAAGATATCTTTGGACCCAATAACAGCTACAGCTTCTACAAACATGCCATCTTTTCCCTGTGTTGTCATGTGGGCAGGATGCTCCTGCCGCTGGCACACAGTCCCCAGATCTGGGTGGGGCTGCGACGGCCAGTCTATGCTCTGCACGCTGCAGGTGTTGCCGATTTCACCGGACCAACAGGGCCCTGGAGAGAAACGAGCCCGCGTACCTCCTGCAGCGCGTCCGCCCTCTCCCGGGCCCGGCGCTGCTCGGCGAACAGCTCGCTCTTGGCGCTGCCCAGCTGTCGCTCCAGCTCCTGGCGCTCCAGCAGGGTCAGGCTGCCCTCGCTGTGCCTCAGCCGCGCCCTCAGCTCGTCCCGCTCTGCGCTGAGGGCCGCCACCTGCGGGGAGAGGCGCAGTTGAGCCCCCTGCGGCCCTCACCCCTCCGCCCCCGGGCCGGCCGGCGGCGCCGCAGGACCGCACTCAAGCCAGGCGGGGACCGGAAAGTTTCAGGCGGACGGGAAGGAACTAGCTCATGAATGAAGTGAGAAAGCTTCGCTGTAAACTGAAAGGCTGTTGCATACCCAGCACAAAAAAAGACTTTACGCTTAGGTTTTATAATGAGAATGACCTCAGTGATAGTGGGCCAATATTGTAGCTTGTTTGCTGCATTTAAAAACTACAAAGTACAGGTTCTAGTCAAAAGGCAACTCCAGTCTGTGGGCAAGCATGTGGTCTTACTCCCCTGCCTGGTGCTCTGGCTGTCCCCCACCTCAAGAAGACTTCACAGCTGAAACACTTGAGTTTTGTTTGTACTTCTCAGTGTGGGATTAACCTCAGCCTCTTCCTTCACGGCCACCTCGCTGATGGCTTTCTCCAGCACTCACACGGTTCCTCACTGCGCCCCAGCTAGCACATGTTAATGCTTCCCTTGTGATCCCAGTGCAGCTGTCGGGGCTGTCAGCTGACCCCAGGGCTGGCCTGCTGTGTGTGCGATAAACTGCTGTCTCAGGCGAGACAGGTACAGAGAGGCCAAGGCCTGCTCAGCAAAACCTTAATTACTTAATAACGTCAGGTGATGGATATGGATTCCTTTGCCCTTGAAGGTGGAACAGAAGGACGTTGCTTAAGGGGGAAAACAGCTGAGGACATTCGCTTAGCGTGATTTAAGTAGCTGATCACAGGCCCCTAAACAACACCATAATAAGCTCATTACACACACGTCACGTTGCCCAGGCCCACAGCTAAAGAACGTCTAACCAAAGGTTTTGCTGAGAAATTGTCAAAACTCTCTTGTTCCGGGTGTTTAGTGATGAATGATTCAGAGAGATCTCACTCTGTGGTGCTCTATGATCATGGACCCTCGTATGGAACTCATACTCTGTTAATATTATGATGAGACGGCCACTGTATCCCCAGGGGAAACCAGTGTATCTTTCAATCATTGTACAGAACCCAGAAATAACGGCACATACAAACATGAAGGTCTTTACCCATTAATCACAGTACTTCAAACAGAAAATAACACAATAAATATACAGGGGTTTAATAACAGAGTTTTGTTCAATTGCAATCCCACGCTGCCAGTGTTTCTATTTCTACTCAGACTTGCCATCCCGCTCACTGCACTCACCCGGTCCTGCAGCGCCCCCGCCTGGCGGCTCTGCGGAGGGGAACACTGCCCTCTGAGCGTGCTCAGCTGCTCCTCCAGAGCCCTCCCTTCCTTCAGGCAGGACTCCCGTTGGTACTCCAGCATCAGCAGCTGTGACCTGCGCCGGCACAGAAGCACACCGACGCGCACACGCGCTGCGTCTGGGCTCTCAAAATAGCCTGCTGGGAATCTCGGAAAGCCGAGAGCTCAGCTATGTACGCTTGGGTTACCATACGCCCAGTTGTTCCTGGACACGTCCATAAAACAAGTGGGATTTTTCCCCAAAATAGATATCCCCTGTCAACACATGGGCACTGGTTCACACTACGGATGACACTGGGCAAGGGAACCAGATTAAGCTTCAAGTTTCAGCTTCTGTGTCCACGATGTTTGTGTTGAAGGACATGGTACACCGTTGTATTAACTTTAACCAATACTTTCTTTTGGCAAACAGCATTCCAAATTCAATCTATAAATATTGTTAAGAATATATTGAGTAAACAGTGTTGAAGCACTTCTTCTTGCTTTGCACCTACAGTACTGTACTTGAATTATTTCAAAACAACTAACAACTTAGGTTTTCGAAGGGTGACTTATGCCATCAATGATGCACAAGGTTAGAGATAAGATTTCATTGAAATGGGGCTGATGCAACTTAAATAAATAGCCATTTAAATTGAACTATAATGTAAAACCAAGTGAAAAACGTCAAACCTTATTGATCCCTCAAAATGGAAAGCTTAGAAATGGATCATTCAACACTGTCAGACACGGAGACGGCAGTGAAGACCCTTGGTCTACTCCACACACCTGGTTTCATCCACCTGGCTCCTGCTGTCCCTCAGCCTTGCCTCCAGGACGCTCGCCTCTCTCTCGCCGCGCTCAACAGCCCCCCGCACAGACTCCAGCTCCCGCAGAGCTTGCTACAAGAGAACCACACTCATCAGCCGCTCAGCACTAAGGCCGCCACTGACCCATCCTTAATGGGACACAGTAGGAAGACTCATGTGATATTGCAAACCGAAGTCTCATCATGGTGGGAGTACAAACATGCACATTCAAAAGTAAAAACACTAAATGATGTGCTGATATTAAAGTGTTAAAGTGACAAGTCACTATTTTCTCAGTGTGCAGGAAGCAGGTACAGTACTTAACCATGGGTATCGGCCTCCTTCCTGGCAGTAGTGGCTTATGAAGTCCTACAATGTTTGATGGGAAACTGTAGAATATTTATGAAGAAGTCTTGGTGTTTGTGTTGACACTTTGCTTACATCTTCCAGACAATGTGCAGAAGCAAAAAAAAAAAGGCAAACAAAATGTGAGGCTCCATAGTTAAAAGTGTTCAATCCACAGCAATTGATGTAAAATGCACTAGTTAAGCCTCATTTAGAATATTGCACAATTTTGGTCACCATGCTACGAAAGCTGATCAGGAATCAGTCCAGAGAAGAGCAACGTGATGCATCCCAGGGCTTAAGGGAATGTCCAACAGATACTGAACCTCTTTTGTCTTTGAGGCTACTAGGGCACCTGATACAAGTACTCAAAAATGATTCTTTTGAGACGGCAGTTACAGTATGCTCGCACTGTACCTTCTTCTGGTGCAACAGGGCGGAGAGCGACTGATCAGCCTCCAGCTGCTGGGCTCTCTTCTGCAACAGACGCTCCTCTTCCTTCACAAGGTCCTGCTAGGCAAGGTGATTAGGTGATTAATGATGACAACATGCAATAATAATAATGTGGGCTCACTTCCGCAGGATGGCACAGAGTGGCCCGATTCACGTTCACTCTGCCCGAAGCTAGCCAGGAGCCATCATTAAGCAAACCGGGTACAGAGGTCATCTGCTGCAGCTTATTCTTCTTCGCCATTTAATTAAAGGAAAATAAACCACAAACACTGAAACAAGAAAGAAGCAAAATAAAAAGAAAAGGGGATTTAAATGGGTTCCCTCTCCAGTCCTGCTGTGCTCCTCACCCCAGCCAGTGTTGTCTGAGAGGGCTGGATCATGGCAGCACACCCACACAGTGGGCCCTCACCTTGCGCAGCCTGGACAGAGACTCCTCCAACACCAGCCTGTCTGAGCTCATCTCGTCCAGCCAGAGACGGGACTGCGGAGAGGAGAGAGGCACAGCGTCACAGACTCTGGTGCTATACCAGAGTTCAATTCAGACAGCTCCAATCCACTGTCTTTGTATACTGTATATGACAATCTATACTGGGCACTGCCATCTGGTTAACAATGACTTTTATTGCTGTGAAAGAGAAAAATACAAACATCATAGGTTAAAATGAAACCTTACATTTACTCTAAATACATTTTGAAACGCACACCACGCACACATGCTCCAGTTCACATGACGCTCATACAGACACAAGCAAGCAGGGTCGGTTCAGAGACATCGCTTAGCCTGGCCAGCGTGTCTTTGGACAGTGGGAGAGACCCAGAGCGCCTGGAAAAAACAGCCACCCCAGCAAAGAAGTTTTAAAAAAAACTTTTTGCATCCAACATTTTATTAACTAGAACTTCTATTCATCTCAAACAATAAAAAAACATATATGAGATTGGGAGTTTCTCTCATGTAAAAAATCCATCAATATGTGAAACATCCAGTTTGAGAGAACAAGCACAAACTACTCAGAAAGAAATCTTGTGAATCTCTTTCTTTAGGCATGTTCTAGGTTTGTGTGCTTACATGTCCTAGTCCTTTTAGCCTAGTAGTCAGCCACTAGTAATGGATGAATGATGACCGGGGTTTATGAGACGCTGGTAAAAATTCAGTGATCACCTCGTGGGAAAGGTCGAGCCCTTTAGCCCTCGTCTCTCTTCTCTGGGGGCTTTCATCCCACCTCAGAGCCCTGCTGGGGCTCCATTCCAGCGCTGCATGGACCCCTGTGCACCCCTCTTCCTCCTCCTCTGACGGCGTCTTATCAGAGCTGGCATACCTGACAACCCAAGACGTCTGAGCAACTGCAGCGCTAGTACGAGGAGTTCGAAAGTAAGGGAGAGACAGTACTGGGAGTTATGGAGAGACAGTATTGGGCATTAGGGAGAGACAGTATTGGGAGTTATGGAGAGACAGTACTGGGAACAGGAAGAGATAGTACTGGGAGGTAAGGAGAGAATTTTTGGAATTAGGCAGAGACAGTATTGGGAGTTAGTAAGAGATTGTATACGACAGAAGAGGTTAGTATACAATCAGTGGACTAGTGAAATGAATATCCCAACGGATATGTTCCTGTATCTTAATTGAACAACTCTTGAAGTGAAACTGTGGTAAGCCACCTTAAAATGAAATCAGATGTATTCTTTGAAATGAAATAGGCTGTGTGCTCTGAAACTAAATCAGATATGTGCTCTGAAAATAGATCAGCTGTTCAATGAAATCAACAGTCTACAGGGACAAATGCTGCTGAACGCACCTGAAGCAGAAGGATAGGCTTGGCCCTGTAAGAGGAAGATAGCCTTTATCTCCGACAGTGCAAGCAACTGCTTTTTTCACAAGCAAGAATGAACATGGTAGGATCAAGACATCTGATCATACAAATGTGTCTCATGCGTTAAGTGATCTTACAAATTAAGAGTGGTGCAAAGAAAATGAAACATCTGTTTTTTTAAGTCAATCGTAGGCAGGGAATCACAATGAATTTTAAAGTTATAATTTGGCAGTAAATGTTCACAGAACAGACAAAATAACTGAGGCTCCACGGCCGAAACGTTGTGTTTCTTTTCTTCTCTTTTCAGCAGGGAACAAACCTTTACTTGTTCCTTTGCAGCCTACGCATGCTGACGCAGCTCCCCACCTGAACTAAAATAACCGACTGCTAAGCCAAACAGAATTACTACCCTGTGCTACAGGATGGCTAGGTACTCCTGATTTCAACGGTCTGAGTGTCTCAACCAGCAGAGGCACTCGCTTGGGAGCAGGTTGGGCCGTCTGACCACAGCCTGGGTCGTGTCACCAGCCGAGTGTGAGCCGGTTCCCGGAGGGGCTGCGTACAGCCGGCTAAGCGCCGAGGAAGGTCGGGTGGGATTAGGCGCTCAGGGCTCTGATGGGAAATCAGCGTCCACAGGTCACACACACACACGCAGGCAAGTGACGAGGCCGTGAGGTCGCTCCAGCAGGGGGCTGCTGACATACGAATAGCTCGAAGGTGGGAGAGTCTGAACTCTCTCAACTTCCCCTGTGCGCAGAGACTTGGCAAAATGTACAACTGGCTATTCCAGATCGGGTGGGCAGAGCAGAAATAAGGCGTGACTCTGAATTCTGAATCAAACAAAAAGCACGATCCTCCCACCTGGAAGCTTCCTTCCTGCCATGATGTGATCTTCTGCCAGGGTGACGTGCACTAGAACGGTTCGTGCTCGCTCTCCGCCCGCCTTGTGAAGGAGACACATCACACCGGCACACGTGAAGCACACAGAGACATCGCACACTAACAGGGCCACAGAGCATTGTGAGATTTTGTGTGAAACATATCCACAGAGACAAATGTAAATCATCTGCTCTCTTTCAAAGTCCCAAAAGAGTCAGAAATGATAATTTGTGAGGACCCAGCATCCCAATGATCATTTTTGTGTTAACGTGCTAAACACGAGCATTCTGTGTGATATCTGTGTTCTGTGTCTGACAGATTGTGCAATTCACTAATCCTACAAGTACAACACCCTTACGCCAAGACAGAAATTAATTCAAATTGATAAATAACGATCTATGCTTAGAAAAGTAAATACTTTTATAAACACATAATTTATGGAGAATAAAAAAGTTTTAGGTATTTTTACTATAGAGCAATCATATCTGTAAGGTGAAGTGCAGGGGACTGGGATTGTCACAGTGTGTGCACAGACCTCTCTTGGGCTAACTCATCTTCCATAACGAGGCACGAAAAGATAAAAATACACACCTTGACTCAGGGTCTTCTTTTTGCGGAAGAGGCTGTGGAAAGTGCGCTGGATGGCCTCCGGCTTGGCGGCATCTAGGTCACTCTGGTCTGTGTACAGGTCCTCTACGACCAGTGACTTTGACGGTCGAGTACCTGTAGAGAAAGACAGACATGTCTACTAAGTCTTTTTGCATCACTGCCAGCTCCAGGTGTCACCCTTGTGCCAGAAGCTGAGGGGAACCTGGCGAGACCCAGCCTGCCTTGGTACTGCTCAACCGTTTGTCTGCTGCAGCTTGAGCCACCTTGGTCAGGGTTGTCTAGTGATGTGACCCAGGCTTGAGCCGGCAACATCTGGGCCACAGAGTTCAACCTGCATTCCAAGCAAGCACCTTCCGTGGTTGAGCAGTGAAGAGAGCCGAGGTGGTTTCCACAGGCACCACACACTCACAGCAGGGCCAATTTTCCCCCTTGGACTGTGGGAGGAAACTGCAGAAGCATCAGACTTTTCCCTCTCCTAATCATTCTTTCTGCTGGCTCAGGTGGAGGTGAGCTGGAGAGGGTGCTATCAAATCCAGGCCTCACCTTTGCTGTTGTGGAGCGCACTTTGAACGTGTTTGCGCACTCGAGCTGTATTCACTGAATCCAGGTCGCTGTCAATGGTCACTTCATCAAAATTCTTCACAGGAACACCTGGTACAAAATCAGAAAATAATGAAATAAAATCTTAGAACAAGGTCCTACAAATTCCACTCAAAGACGCAATCCAGCTGTTTTTCTGGACATGTGCCCCATGTTAAAATGTTTAAGGGTACAACTTGTTGGCACAGCACTGTTCTATAAGTCGCAGCTGAATGTTCATTGCTGAACCAATTAAGACCTGAGAAAACTAGCAACAATAATGCTTAGTAATCTGTCACAACTGCACGTCATAATAAAGCACATGAGCGCCTGTACAAGTTTTGTTGTGGTGCAGTAGAGAAGTAACAAATCAGAATCATAGAGGGGTAGGGAGATATTTTTAGGGGAACAGAAAAAAAGTCAGAAGATTCTTCAGAGAGTCAGAGTCAGGAATGCAGGACGTTATACCGGCCACATGTTTGACAGGCAGGGTCGGAAACGTGCCCACGTATTCTTCAGTCCCAACAGTGTGCAGGCTGCATTGAGATCCCAGAGTTTTCCGAGAAGTGTTGTGAAATCCAGCAACTAAAAGGAAATGCACAGACAAAAAACTGATAAAGTCTTTGTTAGCAACCTGAGATTTTCCCTATTAAAATAATACTTCAGTAAAAAGAATGCACTTTCAGCTTTAGAAAACAAATCAGAATCATAGAGAGGTGGGGAGATATTTTTAGGGGCATAGAAGAAAGTCAGAAGATTTTTCGGAGAGTCAGAGTCTTATTTTGTGTGACATAAGAAACGAACGTATAAGACCAGGTTTGCCCAGCTGCATCACCCTGTTCTGAAACCAATCAATTTAACAAATATATTGGAGAGCCAGACCAGCTAACCTCACTTAACAAGCAGGGAACACCCATCACGGCACTGCTCTGATCAGAACATCCTGGTGAATGTTGTGATAGTTTCCACAACTGCATAAAATAAAAAAAAGACCTCTGGCCTTGAAGGAATCAATCCATCCAGTTGATGCCAGTTTAGGCATCAATAGGTTAAGACTTAGAAAATAAGGTTAAATTGATCCATTTGATAAAACAATTGCTTCAGTAAGGTGAAGAGTATTCAAACCAAAAGGCCTCGCTGCCCTCAGGATTGAGCTGTGCATCAATAGTCTCCATTAATTTCTTCTAACTTACCGCTAGGAGACACAGTGCTGTCCACACCGCTGTTAGGGGTTTGACTCAAACCATACTGTTCTTCAGCAGCTTCGTTTTGGCTTATTGCACTCCCAGTTCCCATGTGACCCGTCTCATAAGACACAGACATTGCTGGAGGAAGGAGGGAGGCCACTGGCGCTCTCTGACCCCAGCGCTGCGAGTCGGCAGCTGTGTCGGGGTGCTCGCTCGCGTTAGGAAGTAAGATAGATCTGCCAGTATCCGAAGCTTCATTAACTTCAGTCCCAGGGGAGGATCCCGATGTGGGGGGCCAGCTGTCTGATCTCCTGATTGACCGCTGGTGAGCTTTCTGAGCTCCACAACCCTGATAAGGCGCCATGTGTCTTTGGTCTTGCACCAGGGACCCCTTTACCGTCTCCCCGAGTTCTCCAAAAGGAGGTGTGGACACCCCTGGATCGATGGCAATGAGTCTCCCTCCTGGGGAACGATTTGAGCCCAGGGCTGACAGACCTGGAGCTTGTCGTTCATCATCTTTACCAACAGATAAATGAGAATCTAAAGCAAGAGAGGATGGTATTCCATCAGCAGGAACGGGCTGGGCAGGGAGGTGGTTTTCAAGGCTGCTCACTGACGGCATCCTCAGTGATAGATCCTCCGAAATCCGTGTTGGAGAGAATCCAGTCTTTTCCCGACCTGTCTCCTTATCAAGTGCTGCTGGCAGACAAGGAAGAGATTGGACATGTCCATTCTGTAAAGCAATGACGGACATCCTATTTTCGCTCATGGATACTGGCTCAGGGGTGGAAATCCTTAAGTTCCTGACCTTGCCCGAAGTATTACTCTGACTCGTCCTGGAGATCCGACCTCCGAGAGATTCCTCACTGTCTCGGCGACTCCGGCCCAAACCACACCTCTCCTTGACGAGCCCCTCCGAGGTGAGGCCGCGTTCAGAGTCTTGCGTGATCTGCTGGGCGTTATCCCGCCCCCTCGGTGTCCCCAGCACCATCTGTTCATCATCAGCCTCTGTGCCGCTCCGCAGGTGCTCGGTGGGGCCCTCTCGAAGACGCCTCGGAGCAAAGGGCTCCTCAGGGAGACACTCTGAAGTATCGCTTCCCAGCTCTCCGTTTGGGTCGACCTGGGGATCCACCATGCCTTCCCGGAATTTCGCAGCAAAGTCTTCCGTGCAGACACTCTCCGCCATATTCACGTCGCTCTCGTACCCTTGCTCTCCTGCTCCTTGGCTTCCTAGGAGCTGCTCGAGCCTCCACCTGTACTGTTCCTTCCTGGAGTCCCCTCCCTGCGTTCTCCGAGTTTCTCTCTCCTCTCTCTCCTCCTCGGCAGAGTCTGGGCGCCTCCCTTTGGGCTCTGCAGAGGAAACATCAGACGGAGAAGACAGGGGGTGTCAGGTGGTCAGTGTGCTCCAAAACAGGCCTCTCACTTCATCCGGCGGGGGGACACAGGCCAGCTGAAGACAAAAGAGCGCCACTGTCCTTGGAACCCGCTGCTCATTCTGTACAGCCACGCCCTCCTGCAGCTGTGACTGCCCCGTGTCCTTTTTTGCAGAGATTCATCAAGATTGTGTTCCCGTGCAGTTCTGTGACTGTGCAGTCAGTCACTCACTACAGTGCTGGCAATGCGAAGGGCAGAAGGCTGATTTTATAATCACACACCGCACCCTGGGTGAGTAACTGAAGGCATATGATAAAGTGTCCTGCCAGAGGTGTCGGGGCAAAGAGAAATACAGGGGAGCCAATCAATATAACCTTATCAGCTGACGGTAGTGAGAAGACAGGGAACCAAAGAAATTTGGTTAACACACAAATTTTATCAACTTACATGGATATCTATATATACATCGGAGACCACCAGGGGGCACACAATATAAAATACCTAGTAAGTGTCCTGTTGGTGTATTGATGTTTAAAGGTATTTGTATGTGCACAAAGTTTCATTCCTCCCTTACATTCAGAGCACAGAGCAATGGGTCGCTGAGACACAAAACCCTTGACTCCAGAAGTCTTTACTGTGCCCTTCAGATTTATTCACACTCCCGATGAAGTAGGAACAGCAGAATGTTACACATTGGACGATGTGTCTTACTAAAAACATTCTAATAATGTTACACTGCTCTAGCTTTGTAAGAACACAGTCATATTTGTGATAAATAACTCACTGACTTTCAGAAAATAAAAGGG